AGAAAAAATTTTTCTGATTGAAAAATGTTTTAATTCTTTCAATTATTATTTAATTGCTAAAAATGCTAAAATTTTCTATATGAAATGTGTTTTTAAAGAAATAATTTTTTTTTTTTTTTTTAAATAATTAAATGCAATTAAAAAGTTGAATAATGGTAAAATATAAAATTGAAATGAGATTTATACAATTAGCTTTTAAAGAGAAAACGAGTAGCGAAGAAGAAAGACAGGGAGAGAGAGAGGGAGAGAGAGAGAGAGAGAGAAAAGTTGATTATGAAACATTAAATGGAAATAGAAAAGTTTTGCTAACCGTTTAATTTTATAAAAATGATTGCGAATGATGGAAGATGACGATGATGATGATGACGATGATGATGATGATGCTATATGATGGGCGGTAATGGCAATGATGGCGGTGATGACAGTAATTAGATGAGGAAAAGAAAAGATGAAAATGTGACATTTTTTTTTTTTTTCAAATTTATCAAAATTTTAATAAGATTAAGATCTTTGCTCTCTTTTTTTTTTTTTTTTTTTGAATTATTTTGTTTTTGTTTTTATTTGTCTTTGAATTTTATACATTGTATAAAATGAAAAAAAAATTCTGATTTCAATAATTTTTATTCAAATTAATAAATATGGAATAACTTTTTTTTTTTTATTTTATTCCTTCCTTTTTTTCTTCAAAAATCAAATTTGAAAAAAAAAAAACATCAAAATTTTTAAATTTAAAAAAAAAAAATGATTATAACAGAGTTTTTGCTTCTCATTCTCGCTTCAATCACTAATCATTACTTTTACTTTCCATTTCTCTTTTTTTTTCAGAAAATTAAAAAAAAAAAAGAACAAAACAAAAGAGTTTTCCATGAAGATAGAAATAAAGAGAGAAAGAGAGAGGGAGAGAGAGGGAGAGAGAGAGGGAGAAGAAGACTAAAGAGAAAAATAAGGAAAAACAAAGTTTTCTCTTAAACGAGAAAACGAAAAGAGAAGAAAAAAAAATTGTTTTTTTTAAAGAAAAAATAAACAAATTAATCATTGTGATATAAAGTGCAGTATAAAATTTGTTAAGAGAAACGGATTCGATAATTGATTTGTGCAAAATATAAATGAAAAAATTTTTTTAAAAAAAGAAAAATTAGAAATAAATTATATTTAAGTTATTCAGTCGATAGACAAATGAGATAATTTAACAATTTGAATAACTAATTTCAACGAAACTAAGTTTTTTTTTTTTTTTTTTTCTCCTAATAAATAATAAAAATTTATTAATAAATTTTCCTTTTTCATTAATTTAGAATGAATTATTCGTTTTACTCATTAATGAGTGAGAAATTGTACTAATCAATAAAAGTAGTAATAGAATAATATAATAAAAGAAAAAGCAATAAATAATGCTACGACAAAATAAAAGAAAAAAATGCAAATAAATAATTAATATTCATCGTATAGTAAACAAATAAACAAAACGAACAATAACAACAACAAAAAGGGAAAAAAAATAGCATGCAACAAATGATAAAATTGTCATATAGCAAATAATAGTATATAAACAATGAGGAAATAAAATAAACAATAAAAAGGCGAAAAAAAAAAAAAAATAAACAATGAGAAGAAAACAAAGCAAGTAACACGAAAATAAAAAATAAACATATAACAAAAATAAACAAATAAATGTACGCCGAAATGGTAATTTAATTGAATGTTACATAATTCTTTTAAACAATGAAATATTTTGAATATTAGCATAAATCTAATTTAAAAAATAATTAAAAGAAAAAAATTTTTTTTTGTTATTATTTAATACAATTTGTGAAATATGAAATTTACAAACATATTTAATAGTTTATTAAACATAAAATAATTCTTAAAATAGTAATTAGCAATGATAATAATTATTTTTCTCGTTTTGATATACCAGAATATACCAGAATGAAATGTTCAAAAATATCACACTTCATTTCCCTCTCTTTCTCTTCCCCTTTCTCTCTCTCTCTTCCCCTCTCTCTCTTTCTCTCTCTCTCTCTTGTCTTCTTTTTATATACTAAAAGAAATAGAAATAAATAATCAAATGATGTTAGCAATGGTTTGCTTATTTCATCATTATTAAATTGCAATAAAAAGGAAATTTCATTCATTATAAATACATATATAATTATTATCGAACATTATTATTCTTTTCTCTTTTTCTTTCCCTCTCTCTCTCTCTCTCTCTCTTTCATTCATTTCATCATTTTCATTTTATTTTATTTTATTTCATTTCATTTCATTTCGTTAATTCATTCATTTTTTCTATTAAATCATTTATTTTATGCACTCATTCCATTAACCTTTTTATTGTTGTCGATAACAATAACATCAACAATAACAATAACAACAACAATAACATCAACAACAACAATAACAATAACAACAACAACAACGACCAATAATAATAATAAAATTTTTACCTATTGATTGATATTTTAATTATTAAATTTCATTTCCAACGCTTTTTCTTTTTTCAAAAAATAATCTAAAATTATTATTTAAAATTTGATCAATTCTTTATTGTAAATACATTCATACATATTTAATGAAAATGTTGAAAAAAAATTGTAAATTTTATAAATTCAATAATTAGTTCTTCTTCAAAAAAAAAAGAAAAAAAAAAGAAAAAATTTTGTTTTGAAAGAAAGTTTGAATTTTTGTCTTATTTTCAATTCAAATTTGTTAAAATTAACTAAATTTAAACAAATTTATTGATTGATAAATAACTGAACAAAAAGAAAAAGACGAATAAATTTATGAAACATAAAACTGTTTTTATAAGATAAAATTACTTGTTTATAATTCAAAGAAAGGGAAAGGAAGAAGAAGGAGAGAGAGAGAGAGAGAGAGAAAGAGAAAACGAATTCCAAATCTGTGTTTTTCGTTTTTTTTCCTTTACACTCTCTGTTTGAATTTAAACAAAAGCAAAAATAAAACAGAAAAAATAAAAAAAAAAAAAAGAAAAGGAAAGAAAAGATAAACATTTGTAATGATTAATTGATTATATTAATTTCAAAATAAAATCAATTCTTCATTTCATATATTTAATATAATTTGTAATAAACATATGTATTACTATTATGATACGGTATCCAATGATAAACAATGATTTGAAAATTTTTAAAAATGAAACACTAATGAAAAAAGAAATTTGAAATGAAACAAATGAAATGATAAATGATGAATGATAATGTATCAGCTGATAGATAATGATAAATGAATTTAATAAATTACACAAACGGATAAATTCATTTCGATACGAATGATTTTGTAAAATATAATTTATGAAATTTTATAATAGCTAATGCTTTTTACCCAAACATTTTACAAACATATATTTTACATATGCTAAATGATTAATTAATTAAATTTAATTCTAATCGAAATTAATTCCATTAAAAAATTAATTAGTGATAATTTTTACACACTAAAATATAAATAAATGGATAAAATATTTTTATTGCTTTCTAATAAACATAAAAAATTTTTTATTCTTATTGCACTTTATAATATTTATTTCTTTTATTTACATTTATATCACACATTTCATAAAATTTAATCAATTATAAATTTTTTATTATTATTAATTATAAATCATTAAATTTTTGAAAAAAAAATTTTAATTATTATTTAGAAAATTTATTTAAATAATTTTATTAATAATTATTATTTTCCCACAATTAGTTTTTTTTTTGTTGTTAAAGTAAAATATTAATTTAATATAATTTTTTTTTTTTTTTTGTTCTTTATTCTCTTATTTCTCGTTTTTTCTTTTTTAACAACTAGCAGGTTTTAAAATCTTTTTCAAAATTTTCAATCAACACAGCAACATTTCCGATTAGAAAAGAATGAAAGGAATAGAATAAACACAACAAACATCAAAATACACATACACATATAAAATTATTAGATGCATAATAAATAATTCGATAGTTTGAGATTTGAGTGAAATGAGAGTGAAATTTCAGCGAACAAGTTTCTGGTTGACTTTACCTGGACAGGTTACCTCTGTTATTTTACTATCACTCATCATAAGAGTATATAACAAGTTTGATGCAATATGTATGTATGTATATTAAAAGTATGAAAATCCATTCATAAATATATGTAATTAAATAATTGTAAAATAAAATGAAAAAATACAGTGAAAATTTTAATTTTAAAATATTATTAAATGTAATTTTGTTTTAATTTGTTAATTGATATTATTAATATTCGTTTTTTCTTTCTTTTCCTTTTTTTTTTTTTCTTTTTGTACATTAATAGATAATTTTAATTTTATTTATAAATTGTATGCATTTCTGTTTTTGTTGAATAAAATTTTTATTTGTAATTTAATTCAAATTTTTAAATTGTAATTTTTTGTATGAATATAATTATAATATTGTTAATAATATTCAAAAATTGTATCAATTAGATAAACTCTCAATTCTGCTCATTTTCAACTATTACTCTTTCTAGCTTATTATTTTTAAAAATAAATTTTATTTTCATGATGATTTCCTAATAAAATGGTTACTCAAAATAGTTTTTTTACGTAAAAAACGTAAAAACGTAAAAAAGATTTTAGGTTATTGAATTGATAGCTTTGTTATTACGGCATGTTACTGTTATATAATTTCTATTATCAAATGAAATTATACTTAAAACAGGATTATATATTAATAGATAGAAATTACAATAATTGTGACTATATATATATATATTTATTTATAGTACTATAATTAACTAAATTCATTCACTATCAGTAATAATGATTATGTTAACAAATATTACTATCAATAATAACGATTATGTTGAAATATATCACTATCAGCAATAATCATTGTATTAAGAAATATCATTATCAGTAATAATGATTACGTTAAAAAATATCACTATCTATGATAAAGCATATTATATAAATAATTTAAAATGATAAATATTAAAAAAGAAAAAGTGTAAAAGAATTAACTGAAATATTCCAAAAAGGAATGATTAAGATTAATAGATTTGATGATGATAATGATGATGATAGTGATGATAATGATGATGATGATGATAGTGATGATAATGATGATGATAATGATGATGATAGTGATGATAATGATGATGATAATGCTCGACTGGTAAGTTAAATAATAAAAGACATCATCAATTCGATTCGATTCAATCTAATCTGATCCGAATTTAATTTCATCTAACAGTTGTTAAGTTAATAAATTGATGAAAGAAGAGAATGAAAAAAAAAAAAAAAAGAAAGAAAGAAGAAAAGAAAACGTTTAGTATGAATTAGTAAAAAATTTTAATTTTAATACATTTTAGCAAAAAATTTTTTTCAGTCTTTTCAAATATTTCCCCGCCATATTTTCAACTTTCATTTATCAAAATGATAAATTTATTCTTTGTTTCACGAAAAGAGTACCAAAAAAAAAAAAGAAAGAAAGAGCAACGATTGATAAAATAGATTGTTAAAAGATTGTCAAATTTGATAGGCAAAAATGTATGCGAGCAAAATGATGATAATGATAATGATAATAATGATGATGGTGATAATGATAATAATGATGATAGCGGTGATAAGTAACATTTAATCAATTCGATTATTATTGATATATGTTCATCGGAACTATTAGTTTGTAATTTTATTAACATTGTTAAACTTATTTATTTTGTTAATTTAATGACTTTTAAAAGAGAAATAATTTCTCATTTTGATATATAAAAGATTTTTAATTTTATTATATATATGTATGTAGAGAGAGAAAGAGGGAGAGAGAAAGAGAAGGGGAGAGAAGGAGGGAGAGAGAAAGAGAAAGAGAGAGAGGGAAGGAGAGAGAAAGAGAAAGAGAGAGAGGGAAGGAGAGAGAAAGAGAAAGAGAGAGAGAAAATGGATAAATTTGATAATTTTATTAAATTCAATTACTCATTTAATATTTGATTTGTTTCATCGTTAACACATTTAAAAATATTTTTAATTATCTTATTTCATTTATATTTACTGATACATCTATACTAGAAATATTCATTAGTATTAATTAAACCGATTATTTCATTATTTCATGATAATATAGATCTATAATAAAAATTATCAGTGTTTTTTTATCTTATTATCAAATAATTGTTGTCAATTATCTTATTATCAAATAATTGTTATCATTTATCTTATTATCAAGTAGTAATATGCAAAAAACGATATATGATAGAATGTAATAATTTAGTTTTAAATTGTAATTACATTTGAACAGAAAAAGAAAACAATGATAATTGACAACTGATAAAAAAGATTGCAAATTTTTCAAAAGAAAATAGTAAAATATTTTTTTTCCTATTAACATTAATTAATAAATATTTGTCAATTATTATAATTAAAACTAAAAAACTATTAATGCAACAATTATATAAGTGTAAAAGTTTTTTTTTTTTTTTCAAATAATATTTGCAAATTATTAATATTTAACATATTTTTTAAAAAAAGAAAAGAGAAATGAAGAAATTTTCATTTCATTTCATTTTTTTTATAAATAATTTTAAGCAATCGGTGCGTAAAAAAAGAAAAAGCGCAAACATTCAGTTGCAAACTTTTTTAAATAAAATAAGTAAACTTTTAAATTAAGCAAATAAAATTTTATTAAATTTTAAATTTAATTAAAAATAAACAGAAATATTAAAAATAAATAATTAAAATTAAATTAAAATATTAAATAGCTGGATGATGATAAAGATAATATTTATCAATAAATAAATATATGTAAAACTCGTCTATAGAATCAAAAGTACCATGACAACCAATATAAGTCCATTTAATTAGTTAGATAAGTTAGAAAGAAATATATACCAAATTTTTTTAATTAATTCTTGAACTTTCTCTCTCTCTCTCTCCTTCTCCCCCTCTCTCTCTCACTTTTTTACGAAATAAAAAATTGTATTAGTAAGTTAAAAAATTAAAATCAAAATTGATTGAATCAAACTTGTTTTTATCAAATTATTTTTAATAATATTTTTGCAATTTTCAATGTTAAATAAAATTTTTGTTCAAATTTAATAAAACTGGAAGAATATGTTTTTTTTTTTTTTTTAATTATGTATAATTATTATAAAAAAAAATTTTTTTTTCACTTAAAACCATTTACATTTTTTCTTTAAGAAAGAAAAAAAAAGACGAAAAGAAAATGATTAAATTAAAATTTTTTATTATAAATTCATTATAGAATGTTTTTTGCCCTAATTAAAATTAAATAATTAGGAACAAAGATCAAATAAATGATCTAAGATCATTGCATTATTATTAGAATTATTATATAATTGCATTAAAAGCAATAATATAAATCTGAAAATCTCATTTATTAGCTATAATTAATTAACTAATCCTTCATAATTTATAAAAATTTTATCAATTTTATGTTTGTGAATTAATTAAATTATAAATTTGCATATAATCCAAATAACTAATCAATCAAAATTCGTTATTGCATTACAACTTTTACATTTACAAATTTTACAAACCATAAAGTTTTAAAGTGGTAAAATTATTTATTTCCACTATTCAACTTAATTATAATAAACAATATATTACACAAACGATTAATGCAAATATTTTTTAAAATAACAAGAAAAAATTATCATTTAAACTACAAATTCAGTAATTTCTTAAATACTTTGAGAATAGTTTGAGAGTGAAAAAAAATTAAATAATTTGTTAAAATGTGAGAGAAAAAAAAAGAATGAAATTTATATGCTATATGCTACATTATTTTTTTCATCATTCTTCTCATCAACTATTTTTTATGATAAAAATTGAATAATTTTTATCATTGAGAAGATGAATGATTAAAAGTGATAAGTTAAAATAAATTATTAAAAGTGATAAGTTAAAATAAATTATTAAAAGTGATAAGTTAAAATAAATTATTAAAAGTGATAAGTTAAAATAAATTATTAAAAGTGATAAGTTAAAATAAATTATTAAAAGTGATAAGTTAAAATAAATTATTAAAAGTGATAAGTTAAAATAAATTATTAAAAGTGATAAGTTAAAATAAATTATTAAAAGTGATAAGTTAAAATAAATTATTAAAAGTGATAAGTTAAAATAAATTTAATGATTTAGAGTTATTTTGGTCAATAACCTCATTTTGAAGGTTGATAATTTATTGAAATGGACAAAATAAGCAAATATAGAATGGATGAATATGTTTGATAAATGGACACACACACATACACACATACACACACACACACACACACATACACACATACACACACATACACATACACACAAATACACATACACACCTGCACATACAGACAGACACAGACACACACACATACAGGTGTATATAAGGTTATGAGTAGGAAATAATTGCATTATTGTTGACTGATTATTATTGTTGTTATTATAATTGAGGCGTTATGTATGCATCATTTCATCAGATCTCTCTATATATACATAAATACATTTATATATATATTTCATTCATTTCATTTTAAATGTATTCAAATTATTAAATTCAAATATTATCAGTAGAAATAAGAATTAATAAAATTTGCTAAGAAAAAAATTAAAAAAAAAGTTGAGAATAAAAATTTTATAATAAAGTTTTATAAATAATATTGCTTAATTTGAAAAGTTAAAAAGGAAAAAGGGAAAAAAAAAGAAATGATGTTAATTTGTTTAAAAAAGAATATTTTTATGCATTAGATAGATGCATGATGGAATGATGACTGTTTTTTTTTATTTTATTTTATTTTTTAAATAGAGAGAAAAGAACTAAAAATATATGAAAGAAATAATAATAATATGATTTTATTTTACTAAAATTTAAAATATATATGCATAATATATAAAATAAATATAAAAAAAAAGAAAAAATTAGTTTAACTGAGAAATAATATTATCTAATTTATTAAAAGAAAAATTAAATGCGCAAATTTGCAGGTAAAGAAAAAAGGATATTATTGAGTGAGAATTTATTTCCTAAATTATTTTTATGCAATAGTCTAATTGCTTTTGAACTTAAATTTGTTTTTAATGATAAAATCTATTTTGTAATAAATAATCATTCGACTAATATCAAATTAATAATAAGCTCAATTGACGATAAATTAATATTATGATATAGAATTCCGTCCATCCTAATTAATAAATAACTAATTAAGTGAAAAAAATGATGGCGAAAATTCCCCTAATTTTCTCTTGAAATTTGATATATACAAAGAGACACAAATAGTTAAAAATTAATTATAAGTAATTGTACATTAGCAATATTTATCGATTAAATTGCAAATAATACTACTAATATTGACTTAGTATTGCTCAGCATCAAATATAATCAGCCATTTGTTAAAATATGATAGAACTGATTTTTTCTTCATGAAAAAGGATGAAAAAAATTCTACCAATACAGATATAAGTTAGCTGAGAAACTATGATACTTCACAAATTATCAAAAATGATGCAAAATTGATTGAATTAATGAGTGACAAAAATTTGAAACTACAGATTATTTACTTAACATTTGTCATTGCTGAACATTATGGTGCAACTTCAAATTCTAAAATCTTTATTGACAAAGTTCGACCAATCAAAAACTGGAATTTCGAAATTTCCACAAATCTAAGACATCTTTAGAATAATCAAACCTCTCAAATATATTTAAATTCAAAGAATTTGTAACTCAAAGCATTCATAAGGAAATGAATACAAAACAAAATTTGATATTTCAAAATACGCGCAGAAAACATTTTTGATATGATTTCTCTTAAGTCATCACAATAACTGCTTAAAATTTCAATTAAACAAAATTTTAAACTCATCTATTAATATTAAATTGAAAATAAAATTTTCTAAAATTTATCACTAAAAAAATTTTTTTTTTTTTTTGCAGCTATTCTATATTATAAACAATTTCCAAATTTGGACGAAAAAACCTGCATTCAAACAAGGCGCAATGGAAGAAAAAAAGTGTAATCTCTGATTTCTTACTTTGGGCCACTACCAATCCTCAAACAATCCAAACAAATTCAACAACAAAAGATGAAAATTAATATGGCGCAAATATAACATAAACATCCACTAACAATAAGCCTAATCATCATCGTCATCATCATCACTAACATTATTATTATTATCATTGTCATCAACGTCATCATCATCATCATTATCATCATTATCGTCATCATCATCGTCGTCATTATTATCCCCATCATCATCTCCACTACTCGAATCACTTTTTCCGGAAGCTCTGTCATCATCATCATCATCAGCATCGTTATTGTCGTTATCACCCGTTCCGAGTATATTGCTATTGTGTACATTGCTGCTACCATCATCATCATCATCATCGTCATCAACATCATTATTTTTATCATCACTTCTCCTACTTTCTGATGCTGATTCATCTTCCTTTTCCTCTTCATCACTACTTCTTTTATTAATTTTTAAATCTGAAAATCCGTCATAATTCATGAAAAATTGTGTAATTATTAGAATTACTCATTTTAATACAACACATACAGATAAAAATTATATTAATGCTTGACAGATGTGTTAACGATTTGCCATATGAAAGGTATCAATGATATATTTGTTAAATTAATCCATTTAACTTTCTTAAATTAACCTAGAGAAAAGTAAGTTTGAAAAAAATACTACCTTTTCTTAATTCATCATCTGATTCATTCTCATTCTCATCATCATCATTATCACCACCATTAACAACTTTCTTCTCTTCTTCTTCTTCTTCTTCTTCATGACTTCGTTCACTTCCTTCACTTGAACCTTGCTCAGACCCTCAAAAATAATTTTTGCATAATTTAAAATTTTTAAAAATTAAAACATATAACAAAATTACATCGATATTTCAATAATATAATTGAATTCCACTTTAGTTAATGATAATTTTTAAACTATTACATAATTATATCTAAATTATAAGTGTATTAGATGCAAAACATATATCTTGCTATTGAACAGATAAATTGCACGAAAAAAAAAAAAAAAGAAATTGCCTCAAAAAATAATGAGCACAGATTATTTCGTCAATAAAATCATAATTTCCAATATTTAAAATTCCTATGTTATCATCATATTCTATGCATTGATTATAATCTAATTCATAACTAACATATTTTGCATAAACTTTAACTTATAATTTGCATAAACAAACATTAATATATCTTTGTTATATCAATAGCATAGATAAAAGAAATAATAATCTGATCTTTTGCTTATCTTTTCATTCAATACTTTTTATCCTTTTACTTTTCTTTCTATCTTTATTATTTTCAATCAAAATGTTCCGTACATTATTTATATATTGATAGACAGATAGATAGATTGAGAGATATATTTCAAATTGAATAATAACAATACTTTGGTGAAGTAAGCTTCAAAACACAATTAGCAGATGTCACGCATACGGCATGCTACTATGTTTGCTGAATAAATACAATAGACAATCAATGTTAAAAGAGTTAATTCATCAAATCTATGCTATCCCTCTCATATTTCAAAATACTATTGCCAAAATTCTCTACTCTTCTCCTATTACAATTCTTCTTCATTCTTAGTTTACTTCTACTAACAATAGAAATAGAATTGACAAAGATGAAACAAAATAAAAATCTTTTATTTCAATCTTAATTCACATGTAAAAGTGCAAACATTTAATTATTCATAACTAGTTAGTCTATTTTGGAACATGTGAAGCTCTTCGAGCATGAAAATTTTATAAAATTTAAATATCATAATGCTAAAAATTTGAAATAATTTATGAAATATTTTCTAATTCTCTCAATTCAATCATTGCCACTTTATTGTTTATTGTGAATGTATTGAAATTATTTTCCATATTTCACAGCATGCATTCTTACTTCGCAGCATGCAATCGTATTTCAAAATATTTTATTATACTCAGTTTATTGAGGGACAGTGAAGATTTCAACGAGAAATAAATGAATAGTGTGAGCTGTAAAGGAAGTAAATCTTCTTAGTAAAATAAATAAATATGTCATATCGTATTGCAAATGGTAGTATAGAAATAAGTTCGAAATTTAATAGCAAATAGAGAGAATTGTTTTAGTTACAATATCAATTCAAGGAATGCTTTCCTCTAAATATTAAATAATAAACATTCTGAAATTACGAAAAATATTTCAATTTTATTTAATTTAGGAAATGAGAAAATAATATCGTATGCCATTCCATATCAAATAACTCTAAAGAAAAAAAAAATCACCAAAATTGAGAATGATCTTACTTCAATCATTTAAAGAATTTATTAAATCTTATATTCTCATTGTATCTAATATACCTAACTAATAAAATGTTTGATACTATATGCAAATTGACGCTGTAAAATACAACAGATTATACATAGACCAAACTTTTACATTAGAAATGATTTGTAAATATGGATTATAAAGCATTTCCATGATATTTTACTTTCTCAATCAAAACAATGCAATATTTCGAAGATCAATCATTATAAATTAAAAGAAAATTTTTTATTTTTATTTAAATTTCCAAATTGCCTTCAATGTGTTATTGCTAATTTATTATGTGCTTATAATAACACCGTATAAGTGGTATACAATCACCTAGTTATGCAAATATTTTCTAGTCTTAGTATGCAAAATGTTTACAATAGACTATCTCTCCGGTTTTCGTCCACTCACTAAACACTGGAAGTAATCAATCAAAAATATATCTAGTAATGCTTAGCAAACGTAAACTAGCCTAACATTACTGGATTGGTAGGTTTAGTTTTCATTTCATATAACAGATATTATACTATCATATGTAATATGCAAATATACAAACAATTAAATGCGCTAATGTACGCACTTTACCGACCTTTGCATATATCACTATACACGTACGTAACTTATATAAGCGCATTAGGAATATAAATCAATAAAACAGTTGTTTTTCGAAATAATATATATATTATAATAATATATAATATAAAAATAATATATTATAATATAATATTATAATAATACCAATATATTATAATATAACATATGTAATATAAATATATATAATATATGATAAAAATATATTATATTACAAAAAATATTATAAAAAAAATTTATTATGAAATATTATAAAAAATTTATATATATGATATCACAATATAATAATTTACATATAATATAATATCACAATATAATATTTTATAATATATAATATGTCATCAAGTGATAAAAGACATTTCAGAACGCTAAAAGCATGACTAACTGAACAACTCAAAAAAAAAGACCTAAAGTAACGGAAAATATAAGCGTGATATATAATAAAATATAGTTGGACTTATATTCAAACAATATCAACAGATAAATTAATGAGCTAATCTTACTACATATAATGATATAAAGATGATAAGGAGAAGAAAATTAAATATACCTTCATCATCTTTTTCATCGTATGGATGCAATAAGTTATTCAATCGCTCTTGCTAAAATTGATTTAAGCAAGAAATTTAATCAATTTTACTATTTAATAAAAAATTGATTTTTTGAATATCAGTAGTATCATGACCATATGCAAACTATTGACACATATATGTAATATGCTTCTATCTTGTATTATCTTTTGTCCACTGCTTCGACTATATATACATAAAATACTTCTTGAAATTCAAATAGTTCTTGTTAAGTCATTAGGAATATTTCAACTGTTGATAAAGCTAAGAATGTATATTATCCTAATGACTTTTTTATCGAGACTAAAAACATAAAAAACAGAAATGCCTCACCTGTGCATTTAATTCATTCTCATCGTATGCACGATTTCGTACCATCAATTTTGTTTCTTGCTAAAATTTGATTTGTAAAAACAAGACTTATCAAAGGACAACAGACGATAAAGTCAAACTGAATTACTTCAGTAATATTCTCCCAACCAGATTATACTTACTATCTATCAAAAATCTCATTGTCCAATTTTAGTTTTCAATTTTTACGAGTTATCATTCTTCATCTTACCGTGTCATGCAAGATTTAGTCTCTGTTAACGAACAATAAAAAAGCTCTGAAAGTTTCAAATAAGCTAAGAAAATGATTAAACATGTTTCTTAATTAATGTTAAACAGCCGGAACCAATCCAAAAAATTAAATCAAATTAAACATTAACTGCTTAATCTGATTTATATAAGCTTTATTTTTAGAAGATCGACGTACGCAATTGTGTTGCTAATATCATAAAATGTTAATTTTACATTAATTATAAAACAATTACTAGGACCAGTTTTCCCAGTACTTTTTTTATTACTAAAACCAGGCAGTTCTATTGTTTTTATTACTTTTTATTAGTAGGGAGCTAAATGACTAATAAAAGAAGCTTAATTTTTCTCTCCCGACTTTTTTCTCTTCTACACATATTCATTTTGCATAAATCGAGATCTCACCCGTATTCGTTTGGTTTTCCGTCGAGTTAACGAAACCTTTGTTTCTAGTTCATTGTAATAAACGGCACCATCACGAATTGTAAATAAAAAATTGTCCTGCTCATATCCTTTTGTTGATTTATTTCTCACCAACCAATTATAATCTCGAACTGATTGATACTCATACCTAGAAAATTATGCAAATCCAAAGAGATAAGTATGGATTTTCAACATGAAATTATCCTACGACTATAATTTTTAATGCAATCCACGTTTTTGGTGATAAATTTTAAGCTAAAAATAGTCAATATGTAGACAAAAAAATATGCATATAGTGAAATATAAATCTCACTTTACAAGTTCTTATTGTTTTTAAAGCAGCTTATACAGATAATTTCTCAACTTACACATAGTCAGAATCGAATTCAAGACCCTCATCTGCATCTTTCAAACGTTTATCCAAGGTTTCTCTAGACGGCAAGAAATATGTAACAAATTGTTCGCCTTCCTCATCCATCATACCACTAAAAATAATTGTTATTTGTAACAAAATTAATATCATAATTATAAATATTAGAAGTAATTAAAAACATAATAAAATAATAATAAAAACAAAAGAAACACTTCATTAGAAAAAAAAAAAAAAAAACATTCCTAATAATAATAATAACTTATTAAAAGACTCACGAGAACCTACAACAACCATATCTAAAAAAAAAAAAAATACCACGCAATAAAAAAAACTGAAAATAACAAAAAAACATAGAAAAAATTTAAAAAAATCACTGCAAAAACTTAATAAAATACGCACTTTTTGCAAAGTCAAAAACTACAAAATACTATGGTTCAGTTCACCTAAATTCCCTAACTGTGATATGAATATATTTTTCAGACAATCATCTACTGTTTATTTCAGTCATCAGTTATCATTATTATCAAACACTTGGCTTTTTAATAGCAAACGTATGAAAAAGATTCCTCTGTTAATTCAAAGCTTGCATAAAGTATAACCAACTCCAAAGTGAACTTAATTTCATAGGAGAAAAACTTGAAATCTATTGTGAAAATCGAAATTAAAACTGCTGTAAAAATCGAAAAAAAAAGTGAGATATGTTTATTTTTTCGAGATATGTCTATTCTCATATCTATTTAGAAAGACTATTTAAATCTTATTTTCTTGGTAAGAAAGTTTATTTAAAAACATGATTAGCATGAACTTAATATAAGACAAAGAAAATCCGAAAAAAAAAATCACCGTATTAGTGCTTGCGGCATTAAAGTTTGCGCATCAACTTTATCATTTTGTGGTATTGGGTCACCATCGAAAACAACGAGTGCAAACGGGTGCATCCAATTCTGAAAAGAATTTGTTTTAAAAACTATTAAAAGTTTTTGAATCATTTTTATTTTAATTCATTGAATGAAAAGATTACATACGTATTCAAAATACGTAACAAATCTAATAATGTTATTTAAAACGAATCACTTCTATATCATTTCTCAGCATTAGCTATATTACTACGCATATTTGAAAGTACAGAATTGCTATAAAGATCATACCAAATTAAAATTATCAAAAATTATGCTTCCACAGATATTTGTAACATTAAATCTTACATCAAAATCTGGTAATAGTGACAGCTCCTCAACAGCTGTTACACCTTTCTTCGTTGGATGATTTAATACTGATTTCGATGCCTAAAAAATATCTTATATAATTGTTTTTTTTTTTTTTTTTTTTAGTTTATTTACATATAACTAAGCCATCATTAAAATACTGACGATATTTTATAAAAGGACAGAGCAGATGACTACTAAAATTTAACCGACTTTTTTAACCGTTACGTATATCATACGTTTAAAAAATGTACTTACATCATCAAACGTCTTATTAATTGCTGCTATTTGTGATGCTCGATCCCTGTATAATACATCCGTTTGGAATTTCTTCTTTGTACAATAGCCAATCTGTAATGTGCTCATTTTTTTAAAGGTTAAATTTGTTTAATAACGCATATAATCTTCTTTACATAATGGCCAATCTATAAGTAACCTATAAGAGAAATAAAGAAAATCAATTTCGATGAGAAAATGGAATCTATATCCATGAAAAGCAACAATCCATTTCTGCTTCTTTCTCAACCGTTAAATTTTTGTGATTAAATAAAATCAAAGATATGATGTAAAGAGTGGGTAGAGATCAAAAATGAAAAATAAACAAAGAAAGAAAGAGAAACTAATAGAAAATGACAAATGAGTTGAAAATATTAATGAACAATGAAAGGCCTACGATTAAAACACATACTGAGAAATCTACTAACCCTAGTTTCTTGTCGTTCAGCTGATACACCAAATCTTGTAAATTCCGAGCTAATATATTCTGTTTTCCTCATCCATGGCACCATTTTGCTATGTTGCAAGGATCTTCAAAAAGGAATTGTATGTTTGTAGCAATTACAAAAGAATAAAAAAATAAATAAATAAAAGGTTATATGATTTAATCGAAGATATGCAAACCTGCGTAAATTCTGAGGATTTGCTTGTTCATCTTCAAGAAGTTCGAGATCAATGGGATGATGCTGCAATAAGAAGCCTTTAATAAAATGAGCAAAATTCATAAATTTCATATAAAATTTCAAAAAGCATAGATTTCAACTTTCTACCTTGAATTTTAGTTAAATTAGAATTTCATGCATTAAAACAACGATTTTTATTGGGTAATATGATTTTAGGAATAGGATTAATGTATGAATGCAATTTACATTACTGTATAATCCAATACCTAAATGTACTTATTCACCTTGTTCAATTCAAGAGTATCCTTAAATTCACTTTCGTTTATTTATCACGAAAAAATTTATTTCAATCACCGCTTGTCACATGAAAAAATATTAAATATCGTTAAAGAAATTTATGAGCAAGAAGAAACAAACATACATACCTTTTTGGGGCTATCCGGATCAACATAATATGTTTCTGGATTGATAAGGTCAATATTAACGCCACAATCTGGTTCACAAAGTAATTCGAACTTGAAATTTTTTTCCAAGCTAGATGATTTGTAATCAGTGAATCTAAAAATAAAAGTGTTTTAAAAGCAGAAAGAAAAAGAGAGAAAAAAGGTAATAAATCAATGTAATCTTCCAACAATATAAAAAACTTCCTCTTCGTCAAATATGTTACATATACGAAAGAAATAAGTTTTGTTTCTTGTTTCATTAACAAATGGAATAGAAAAACAGCAAAATAATGAAGCAAAAAACATTACGAATGAATGAAGAAAAAGTGAATACGATATTTACTAGAAGTAAAAAAGTTAAAAAAAAAAGAAAATCAAAGTGAGTGAATGAAACTAATCCATCATCGATAGTTCATTTGTCTTAATTCATATTTCGTGTTTAAGTTCAAACTAACCTGCTTAATGAAACAAATGGACATGCTAAAAATTTCGTATCAAAAGGGATATCCGGTAGTGCATTGCTGTATTTAACACGACAAAGAAAATCAGCTTTTCTGCAAATAAAATACATTAAGTGTGATATGAAATAAATTATGTGAAATGATATAGTTATTAAAAACTAATCATTTCGAAAAAAAGAAAAAAACACAAAAATCATTTCGTTAATGAAATTTTGTTCGCTAAATACTGCATTATATGGCAAAACAAAAGTAACAAAACCAGAAAAAAAAAGAGAAAAATGCTGAATTGTCATAAGAAATAAGAATATCTCGATATCTACGAAAATTTTATAAAATAAGTCAAAGGAAAAAAAAGACATACATTGGACGTTCTTCACGACCATTTACAGCATGACGACGAGTTATTCCAGTAGTTGATGATGAACTCGATATATCAAGATTAGCCATCCTTAAAATTAAAAATTAAATGAAATATAATAGCATACTTTAATCAAACAAAAAAATATATATGTATATATTTCAGTAAGTATAATAAATTCCTAACAATTAAATGCATAATAAACTTATCCTTATCACTCTTTTCATCCTTTCAAAATACAAACATTCTATTCTCATTTCTATTCCTATCACTCTCTGTTCTCTCTTCAAAATCAATACAAACTTATTTACTACCTTATACTTAACAAATTCTACTCAAGTACAGTATTCCACTTTCACTGATAACCTATCAAGATTATCAAGACTACACTATCAAGACTTGCTTAACATCACTCTCAGAAGCTACACCGCGGTACTCATCCCCATCCCCAAAAGTATACCAAAATATCTGGTTGGGATATAATGCATTTGCTTAATGCTGACCGCGTAATCTCTTGCTGCGGGATTTTACAGCGATTTCTTTTCTTTTTTTTTTGGTACGAAATAGATGTGTTTGTTGTTTTGGGGATTGGTCGATGTTGCTGCTGAATTTTATGTCATTGATTGCACATTCTTTTCATTCATTTGTTGCTTATCAAATAGGTCATGACCCTTAAAAAGGTTATGACCTATTTCAGTTAGATAGGTTATAATCATAAGCATTTGTAATTTGAAGCACAACAAATCATATTTACTTCAGATAGTCTCACATAAATTCAAGTTTATTGAAATGTATTTGATAAATTTGAAACATTATAGCTATCTTCAATAATAGTAGATTTCATTGATTCCTCGCAGAATTGCTAATATTTTGAATAGGTTTTTTTGTAATATGAAAGCTATTAATCAATATGAATTAAAATCATTTATCATTATTACGGTGTGAATTCTTGTCTGGTAGTATTTCTATAAACTAAACGTATTACATTTATTTATCCTTCTATCTTTGAATGTTACTGAAGAATTTGCAAAAAAAAAAGTGCAAAGTTAATGGAGTAATTGTTAAATTTATAGTATTAAAATGTTGTAGTACACATCTAAATTCACATTTTGCATTTCTTACAAAACATATCTTCATTGTATCCAAAAAGTATTGATTGATATTTTTTCATTTTCAGTTATTACTGCTACTCATACACTCATTTTGCATGTAATAATGGATGAATTTGTTTCTTTGAATTTTCCATTATGAATGATTGGTTAGATTGTAATGATTAGAACGGAAAAAAAAAAAGAGTCAGAAGAAATAATATTAGTTTGGGTAATTTAGTTTCAAAAAAAAAATAACTCAAATGAAAAATTTTCGGTTATTTTTTGAACATTATTATAGTTTCGAGAAGAAAAATGAGAAAAATAGAAAAGGATTGAAATGAACGTAAGAAGAGATGATTAACTTAGTTTAAATTATTATGCTTCTTGCTTTGCTTCCTGTATTTTGAACTTCTTACCAGTAAGCTTACACATGAATTTGTCTTCTTCTTTCGTTTATTTCTTATCTTTCTCTCTCTTCTCTCTCTCTCTCTCTCTCCTTCATACACACACATTCCATATTTTATAAAATTAACATGAAAAAAGTTAGTAATTAAAAATTTGCACATCCGACTTTAATTTATCTCCTTAATTAATAAGTATTAAATTAAGAACAAGCGATCGATGATTTGTATGTGTTTATTACACATCAAAAAGTAAAAGTATGTTATCTCTATTCCTCATTCATCTTATCTATTCATCCTTTCTGCTTATCCTTCTTTAAAATCAATGTATCCGAAATATATCAGAGCATTTTCTTCTTCTTACTTCATCCTCCCACTGATCCATTCACTCATCAAATTTGTGTGATTCTTTGGAATTCTTCAAATTATTTCTATTCTACGATAAAGTGATGGGCATCAGTTTTTTTCCTTTCGTTCATTTAAAATAATTATTATCTTAATATACATATATATATATATATTTTTTTTGTTTGATAAAAAATAATTTAAATTGAAGAAGGAATTATTAAATTATAATATCAAAAAATTCGTTCTACCTCATTCCTTATTGCAAATGTTTTATTCGAAGAAAGAATTATTTTAATTGAAATTTAGTAAATTTCATATTCATTACTATTGATTTTCCTCCTATTATATTTATGTTATTTATTTATTATATATATATATTTTTTTTGAGTTCCATTTGACTTCATCAATCTCTTTCAATTTTTTTTCTTATCAAAATCATAATAATTATTTTGATAAGATAGTAACTAAAGTAAAAGATAGTAAAATTTTTTTCCAAAAAAAAATTTGATACGAAGCATTAACTATTAAAGCGAATAATTTTTTATTCATGCTAAATTTAGATCTAATGAATTGTTCATCTTTAACTTAGATATAACAAATTATCTAATGATGCTATTTCCATTGTTCTTTTTTATTTGATTTTTATTGTGAATAAATCTGCGATTCTCTGAAATTAAGAAGTGAAGAGGGGAAAGGTAGTATGACTCATTTCTCAAACAATTTTTTTTTTTTTTTATTAATTGAATATCTAGTTCTAAAATTTTTGGCATTTTTTAAATTGAAATGTTCTGAAAGGTATTGTGAAGAGGGAAAAAAAGATCACTGTGAGCAGTGCATGTAGATTAGACATTTGTGAAACATCAATTTCATGAAATATATTTGTTAACTCAATTGCAATTTATTTAATCGATTTTTTAATATTTAAGACGAACCGTATCGTTTTTTGTTGTTTACATATCCTGTGAATATTTATTCATAGAATTTATTATTGAAAATATTTGGAAAATTAGGTTAATCAAACTTTTCAACATTTTTTCTTTTTTTTTTCTTTTTTCTAAGAATGGATCCGAATCGTGATGTTTTGAACAGCCCGAAATGGTTTTATCAAGGAGAAGATCATCGCGTTTATGGTAGGAGATTTTTGAATGAATTTTTGAAATTTTCCATGTAATTTTGAACAAATCAGGAAAGATTTCTTATCTTATCTATTGAAGGACTACATTTATTAAATTATAAATCATAGGGCCATATTCATCAATGGAAATGCAAAAATGGTGCAAAACGGGTTATTTCACGGATACTATGCTTATTCGTACAAAAAATGAAGAACGCTTCCATACGCTTGCCGAATGGACACGTTATAGTAATGGACAGGTGAAAATTTTGGAAATTTCATAGTTTTAAAATTTTTTATTTTTTCAAATTATGAAAAGAAAGCACTTTATTTTATTGTTTAATAACTTCAAAATTCATGCTAGCATTTTGAGAGAACTCTGGGCATTGCTACAAGGCTAGACGATAGTAAACACTGAATAGGACTTCGCTCTTCTTAAAGAATGTTTTCGAAAATGGATTTTCAGAGTCCTTTTTTGCTTCTGGTGAGTTCATTCGATCATTTGATCAACATGAATATGCAAGTGCAAATGTCCCAGTTGATTCTGACTCCCGGTCGTGTTCCTGTATCCAGTGGTCCTTACCTTATGGTACCCCAAGCTGCAGCTGCAGCAACACCTAGCCCTGTTCCTGGTTTTCCGCCAGGACATGGCTTCATTGCTTATCATCAGAATCCAATGGTAGTTGCACCTCCAGTACATACCTTTATTCCGCATCAAGCTTTCTCACAACCTCCCAGTGAACCTGTCGATGAAGTACCATCGAGTGCAAGCAATACACCAGATGGTAGCGATACAGGATGGAATATAAATACAATGCAGAATACGGTAGATTTTACACTTTGTTTGAAGCTGTAGTTGGTTTATTTGACAAAAATTTCGAAATTTACCTGTCGTTGACCAAATCTTCGGACATCATTTCGATTTCGAAATTTTGGCTGCTCAAATTCAGATTTATGTGATACTCATTAATTTCCATCATTAGTTTAAGGTTGTTTATTCAGGCTTTGTTGCCACTTCAAGAAAAATCTACGGATACATATGATGCATCGTGGAATATAGTACGTGATATTGGTACTGGACCGGATCATTCAGAATGTTGTGATGCTTTCACCCAAACAAATCCAGGAAGAGTTTGTTTTTTATTACCACTTTTTCCTTTTGTTTTCTGTACAAGTTTCTATCCGGTTGTCATATATGTTTAAATATATCGGGAACTAGATGTGCATTAAAAAAGACTGAGCTGATACGTTTTTGTAATAAAAGTTTTTACCTTCGTTCTGCATATCCATTTTACAGCACATATGAAAAAGCATGCCTTATGTTTCCATTTTTGCAAGTAATCAGTCCATCCCACAAATTCTGTTCAATTTTTTTGGACTTACTTAACATTCTAAATGATATATATATATATATATATTCTTGATGCCTGAAAAATATCATCCTTATAATAAATAGTTGACTGTTTAATTATATTTTTCAGATTTCCGTAGAGCAAGCTGCACGACTTCTTACCGAGCTAACCGGAATCCAGTTGGAGATTGAAAGTTGAACGAATTTCTGTTTACATCTTCTTTTTCATGTGCAATGCTTGTTGCAAAAGTTATCACGAAGTCATAACGAAATTTCGTTTCCGTTCATATCATTTATATGTGTTTTTATGCCGAAATCAAACTTATTAGCATAATTTGATGACAATTGCTACTGTTATTTTTTCTAAATGAAAAAGTATTGTGCTTGAGTCGCAGTTCTATTCCTGGTTGCTGTAACTGAAATGATCGATTTATAAGAAAGGGAATTCAGGAAATTGGAGTATGAAGTCGCATAAGTAAAAACGGAGGAATTGATATTCGAGATAGCTTCATTTCTTATAGATATTCAAAATATAATTTCGATAATGCTCGAATTTGTTAGTTTTTGGAATTCATCAAAAAATCTTTTTATATTTCATCTTCCATAACTAAAATTGTTATTTCTCTTACAGTGTAGTCGAATATAATCGTTTGTTTATTTGCATCTTTGGTTGTTTATTTGTTTAGCACTGATGCAACATGCTTTTGCTTCTATTTCGTTATTTCTGCTGAAGTTAATTTTTAAATCTATTATTATTATTAGTTTAAAAATTCTTCTACTCCTGATATGTGCTGAGTTTTTCGAACTAATTAATTACGCTTAACTAATTATCCAGGATTCAGTGAACATCAAAAACATATATATATGAGCATTATTTAATCAAATATTCTACATATATAAGTACAAGTACCCAATAAGCTATTATTTGGTACTATCACAATATATTTCTTTAAAAATTTTTCTCTTTCAAATACATAAATATAATATGAAGTATTTTATTTCCAATTCATTTACAGTCGCTCTCTGCTGCGATTGTTGCATTTATCACTGATATTTGTATAATATATCGATATAATTGTATGTATATATGATTGCAGAGATTATTGCATGAGTTAACATTAAAAAACATATAATTTTCATCTTTTAAGATTAAAATTTCATTCTTCAAACTTCTTAGATAATGAGATTAGTTCAGTCAGTTTTCATTGTAATATTAAAATGTCAATGATATATATAATTTTCCAGGTTAATTTTTGAAAAAAAAAAAAAAATAATACAATTTTGTTGAAGAATATCCTTAGACTTAGATCTCATATGCACAGTATTACACTTTACCATAGTCTTCAGTCAATCGATTCATCTTATTATATATTCGTTCGTTTGAACAATCTTCTTTTTTTTCTTATATATGGATCATATATTCATCTTTTTTTTGTCTTTTATTGATTTCGAAGCTTCTGAAGAGTTCATGAATTAGAGATTTGTCATATAATTGTTGTTTGTTGCTTATGACAAAAAATATTTACATTTTTTAAGCATTAAATGAATTTCTCTGTGATATTGATGGAGAAATTTTTGAGCTTTTTGAAAGAAAGAAAAAATATTTTTTTTTTTGTCAATGTTTGTTGCTCATGCATTAATCGCTCATCATTTTTCTTCATATTTTTTTTTTTTTTTTTTCTCTTATCGGGTTTATCTAGATTGTTTGCTTTTGCTGCTGCTGTTTTTCAAATGTGCGTATATGGTGTGGAACTTCCTTATTTCAGGATTTCTTGTGAATACTTTGTTTTGTTATGATTGATCTGAGTCCTGAATTATTATTCTGTGTAGTAATTTCCAAAACAGATTATTATTCTATGAAAGTTTTTTGTCCATCGCTTAATTTTTGCATATATATATATATAGTAATAACAATGGTATCAAAAAAGACTTCATTTATTTCAGTAAAAATTTTAATTTTTAGGTAGAAATGGTTGACTGTGTTATAAGAGAGAAGATTCGGTTAATTTTTCACTGTTTATCAATGAAATTCAATGAAATATTTGTCGAAAAATTGAATAGTAATATAACAATTATTTTTTTTAACAAAGAAGACAATAATGTATGTCTTCATTCCTTGGGCCTTATCATCCTTGTACTTTACAATATCTAATTGCTAAAAATTAATTTTTTTATTTTGTGTATGATAACTGATTGATGAATTGCTACATGTTAAGTCTTTTCCTTGCGATAATTTACTGTTGATTTTGTTTCTTTTTATCATAAATTGCTACCTTTGTCATCCTTCTTGCTTTGCATCAAATTTATGCTTGCAAATATTAAAGCTTTGTATTCTGTGTTAAATGTACATTATCAGAGCTGATTGTTTTACCGGTTTTTGTTTTTTGTTCTGTTCTGTTTTGTTTTCTTTTTTTTTTTTTTTATTCGCCTAAACATTTAAACATATTACTACTATTCACTGTTCATTTCTGTTTTTTCTTTTTTAAATTAAATTAATGCTTAGCTTAACAGTACTGTCATATACATGGTAAATATTGTAAAAAAAGGAAGAAAAAAAAAATTTTTTTTTTTTTTTATATGTTGATTAATTTTATAAGCTTAATAAATATATAAATATTCGTCGTTGTTTTTCCCCGCAAATTACGAAATGTACGATTTTACCATTTCAATTAAACCATTCGTTGTGAGGAAATCATTATTAGAGTAAATGCGTGAGAATAGGTTTATTTTTCTTTGTTTACAATTTATGTTCTAAGTTAAAATGATAATCGAAATATTGCATAATATTATATATATATATATATATATATATATATATATATATATATATATATGCGTATTTTAAAAATTATACTTTTAATGCAAATTACAAAGCAAATAATTTGAAAATATTTTCGAATTATATACAAAAGTCAAATTCTATCAAATGAAGTTTTAAAACAATAAGTAAAATTTTTATTGCTAAAATTAGTCACTAATGCTGTAATTTTCTAATTTTAAATTTGAAATTACTAATTTATTTTTTATTGTTATTTACTAGTTTAAAATATGTAATTTCCATAATGTGATCGAAATAAACTTTCATCATTAATAAATTTACAATTTTCCTTGATATGCATTCAATCTTTTTATAAAAGATAAATTTAATAGCAAAAAAAAGAAAGAAAGAAAGAAGATAAAAAAGATAGATAATAGATTAGATAAATATGTTTACGGTGATATATTTTCCATATAATTATTTACGATGATTAGTATTTTGAATTATTCATTTAAAAGAAAATTAAAAGAAAAATTTAAAAGAGAAAAATTTATTAATTTAAAAGAAAAAAAAAAGAATGATCATTTTTATCAATAATTTCTATCAATTATTCTTTTTTCTTTTCATATATATATATATATATTTTTTTTTTTTCAAAGATATTAAATTCGAAAATGAAATAATACATCAATAATTATGAAACAGTGGATGAAATTTAACATTTCAGTGATATTTTTTTACTTAATAAGTATATTTTTAAATGAAGGCATTAAAATTTAGTGTATAAAAAAATTAAAACTTAATAAATTAAATGAATATTAATTGGAATACTTTAATTGGAACACAAAAATCAATTTTGTGGTTAAATCTTCGATTTTCTAAAACTCTCTCTTCGCTACTTTTTCCTATTAACAAACACATTTCATTTCTTTGCCATTTTCTATTTTTTAAATTTTTTGAACATCTAATAATTTTATATGAATAATATTCAAATTATTCAAACAAGGAAGAGAAAAAAGTTTAAATTATTCTTGATTTGTACTGGAATTGTAAAAATTAAAGATTGGAAAAAAAAGACTTCGTTCTAAAAAAAAATTCAAACAGTTCAAATTGTACAAAAAAAAAAAAAAAAAAAGGTTTTCGTCTAGAAAAGTTTAGATAGTTTAAATTATATGAAAATTTATTATTATTTAAGCTATATTTTTCGGTTTTTTTTCTTTACGAAGGATGGATTTCTAATTTTTTTTTTCTTTTTTTTTTTTTTTTAGATATTAATTTTTGATAGAAATCAATATAAAAATTAACGAAAAAAACATTTTTATTAGAAAATTTACAATTTTATTCCTTATAAATTCATTAGCAAATTTAAGGAAATATTCATATTACACAAGCTGAAAGAATTTCAAACAAATATGTTCAAATTCAAGAAAAAAAAAAGAAGACAATTGAATATGAATAATTTCAAAGTTTATTAAACTTTTTTCTCTAACTTACACAATAGATTTTAAGAATATTAATTTCTAGTTTATATTTCATTTTAATAATATATTGGATAGTAATTGAAAAAAAAGGAGAATTTTTCAAAAATTATTAACAATGTTATAGATTAAAATGTTAATTTCAATTTCTGGCTTATTTAATGCAAACGTAAAAACAACATTTCCAATAATAATAATATAATTAGAATTTACTTACTGCTTACTCATTAAGCTTAAATCAATCAGTGATTCATTAGTGTATTTTGCTAATATAACAAGCATTATGCTAATGTCAAATATTATAATACATTAGCTAATGCTAATGTATTAAAAATGAAAAAATTGATTTAATAAGAGTTTTTAAAAAATAATTTCAAATAATTTTTTATATTTGCCAGAATAAGTTATTTTTTAATAAAAACCATACATTATGTTTTTGAGTTTTTTTTTTCTTTTACAAATCAAAACCTTTCCAACTTATTAATATATAGCAAACAATTAAGTTATATTAGTAAAATTTCAATCTTCTTTTTTTGAAAATTTCAAATGAAAAAGGGAAAAGTGAGTGTAAAAATATATATTAAATTAAAAAACTAATCTAAATAAGAGCAAAATTTTCACTGTGATTTTCATTTACATTAAATCAAATTTCACTGACCAAATATTAATTTTTAATTTTCATCATTTTCTTTTCACTTTTATATCATAGCCGAGAAGAAAGAGCAAAAAATTTATTAAATCAGAAATTAAAGTAAACAAGAGCTGCACTACAATTATGGTTTACATTAAATTTAATTTAATTTAATTAATCTAATGCTAATTTTTGGTTTTTGTCATTTTTCTTTATAATTTAACTAAATCAATTTAGATTTTTGTTAAATTTAAATTTCTCTTTCTTTTTTCCTTTTTTTTTAAAAGTTTTTGAAGATTTGTTCCATCATATCACTTCGTATCCGTTCATAT